TAAAATAATTAAAGAACTAATAGAATACATTTAGTATATTGATAGAATAAATTATTTTATATAATAAAAAGTAATTTCTTAATTTTAATAGTATTCGAATCATTTCACAATATAAAACATATTTTTGAAATTATTTGCAAAATTTTAAAACCATAATTAAAATCTAAAAACTTTTTCTAATTCTTTAAAAATTTAAAAATGTTAAACTTCACATATACTTGTTGCACCTATACCTTTGTTACTAGAAATGGGTTGAGTAAGCATATGACTAAGTGTATTCATACAGTTAATGATTATGATTACATTGTCCAGCAATCTTCTGAAAATATTCACAATTATTCAAATATTAGTAAAGCTTTTCAAAACAATCTTTTTGATTTTGAAGATAAACAATTTAATAGTAGTTTTTCTGCTAAAAAAATTTTATTTGAAAATTTTTTTTTTTTTTTGTTAAGGCCATACTTGTGGTAATACTTTATTAACTTTATATCGGGTTAGCTATTACAGCTATTTTTATAGAGATGAAAGTACAGCTAGTCATATATGCAACTTTTGGTTGCCTATTTAAGTAGTCCACTCTAAGGTTCTACACTAGATGCCATACCTATAATCTATTAAGAGATTATTTATTTAAACCCTCTGATCATCTGCCCTGTTATATTGGAATCCCCAACTAACCCCCTGTATATACCTACCTGGTATACCATCTGAGCAGTATGGCACCTACCCTTTTTGTATTGGTTTCTAGTCTATACATATTTCAGAATATGTCACCTACCAGTAAGGCACAGAGGGCCTTCTATTGTTAACTATCTACCCACTTTTAGAACACTAACACAGGCTACCCTTACAGAGTTCACCCAAACCCTAGTACTAACTTCATAGCATATCCCTAGTACTTTTAGTATATCCCTGCTTTGAACTCAGACTCCCAATTCAGATAGCCTGAAAGGACTGTGACCTGTTCTTGGTATATTGAACCAGCCTAATATCTCTTTCCTCTGGTCCAAAATCCGGTGGTCTGGTTAATGGTACCTCTTATCTGAGGTTTTTGTCTGCCCGAATCCTTCATATTGGTATCTATTTCCTAGGTCTAGCCTTTACAGTAGTACTGTCGAAGATCCATATTATCTCTCTGCTTAGAATTTCCAAATAGGCTCTGGCTTTCCAGTTTTACAGATTTATACAGCTAAGAACTTATTTTAGGTTTGCATCACCTAGCACCAGTTTGCATTCCTCTGTGTAACAGGTTACACAGATGCCTCAGACCTGCCAGTCATGCTGATGTGACCATAGTTACAGGTATCCTATCCCAACTGATTGACAGAATGCTGTCGTCATAATACTATCTATATATTACATATATGATTATCCAAATTTTACTGTTGGTAGGTTTTGAACTCACAATCTACCACTTGGGGGTATGACAACTTATCTACTTCACTAAGTCACCACAAGAATTATGCTACTTAAATTACACAAAACCTTTAATTATTGTTTATTAAACTTTTTATAATTATTAATTAAAATCAACTTAATAATATTTAGAACAAAATTCACAAAGCTTTAATTAAAGTTGCTTTCAAACATATTTTATTTAAAAAAGTAAACACCATTAAAGACATTAAAGAAACTAATCCTTTTAAGCATCTTTAACTCTATTATCACTATAAAGAAATTTTATTTTTTAAAAATCATACCAATTTATCTAATTTTAATATACTACTTTAAAACTACTTAGCTAAATATTTTAATAATACAATTCAAAACTTATTATCTAATCTCATTTATCTAAAAAATAAACTTCATCTTACTAAAACTACTTTTAATTATTATTAAAATCAAATTATTTATAATAAAATCAACCAAAAAATAAATAATTAAAACAAACTCTTTTCTGAAACTTTTTTACAAAAAAATTCTTAAAAAATATAACAATATACATATTGATAGATTATTAATTAACAACTTACTTTTAACTAAACATAATAAAATATTTAATGCAATTCACTCTTATTTTACTATCTACTTTAAATTAAAACCTCTTAAAACTATTTCATTATCTAATAAATATTTTGATTTCTATAAACCATATTTCGAACTTGAAAATTACTACTAAAATCTTATTTAAAAAATTACACAACAAAAATGACAAAAGATTATTTTCAATCTTTCAAATTAAAAAGCTGCTGGCCTTTCTGAAATCTGCTATAAACATATTAAATATGCAAGCTTTAAAGCACAAAACCTCTTCAAACTTTTTTTAAACAATGTTTCTAATTTTAAAAAGTTCTACTAAATGAAAATCCTCTAATATTTTTTTATTCTTAAAAAATCAAATTGGGACTATATACTTACTCAAGTATGCTTTATATTCATTATAAAACTTTTTAAAAAAACTTTTACAAAAATTTTTACATCCAGACTAGATAAAATTATTATCTCTAATAACCTTCTTTTTAATCTTAATTTTGCTGCTTCTAAAAACTTTTCTATTTATACTTCAATTTAAATCTTATATAATATAATTAAATACTACAAAGCTAATAACAAAGAAGTTTGGATATTATTTCAAAATATGTCTAAAGCCTTTGATAAAATTAATATTAGAAGACTTCAAGATGCTTGCAAATAAATTGGTATTCTAATTCCTAATATAAAACTTATTACAAAATTATATACTTCTTGACTTGCAAAAGTTATTACTAATCATAGCATTATATAACTAGTTTAAATTAAATCTGAAATAGAGCAAAGAGAAGCCTACTCACTTTTACTTTGAAAAATCTATTATAACTCTATTCTTTTCTTTATTAATTAAAAATATAAAAATCAATTTTTCAAAATATCTGTATAATTACTTCTTGATATTATTTCTAATACTTTTTTTTAATTAATTATTATTCTTTTATTAACTTATATGAATAATACTATTTGACATTATAAAAATTTATTTACAATACAAAATATATTCAATAATACATCTACTTTCTATAAACTTAACAACTTTGAAATAAACTCTTTCAAATTTGACTTTCTTTATATTAAACTTAAACTATTTATTTTACCTTTAATCATTTTTACTGTTAATAATCAAACTATTTTTTCTAAAAAAATCCAAGATATTATTTAATACCTAGATATATTTTATAATAAAAATAGCTCTTTAAAACCAACTCTTAATATTATCATTAACAAAATTAAAAACTTTTTTAATCTTATTAAATACAAAAAAATTAGACTTTTACAAATTTTAGTCATTTTTAATTTTATTTTTTAACTTTTTCTAGAATATTTATTACAAATAACTTCAATTCACAAAAATAATTAAACTAAACTCTTTTGTATTTTCATTATTCAATCTAAAAATATACTAATATTAATAAAAAATACTAATAATATTACTTTTACTAATCTATTATCTTTCAATTAGAGTTCTGCAAATGCTTATACTAGCATATTTAGCACTATGCCAGGCACCAGTACCTTGTGCCATACTAGTGCCTATAAACAAAAGGCATTTGGCAATTTTAGACCAGCATCTTTATACTGTGCTCACAAATAGTTCACAAAGATGCAAAGTAGAAATCTGCAAGTGTCTATGTCAGTTACAATAGCATCATACTAGACACTAATACAATTGACAGTACCTAGAGACAGGTTTTATATGTGTGCATAATTGTGAAAATATGCACATTAATGTACATCATATACATAATTCTGTTTTATACACATTTTATTTCATCAAGATTTCTCTCTTCTCAATTGGTTTTTCTTTTTTTTGTCTTCTTTTTTATTATGTAATATCATGCACATTAATGTGCATTTATGCATATATTATTTTAAAATGCATATTTTTCTTATCACTAATAGTACTAGTGCTAATTTCTTAAAAGTGGCTGATATTTTTAGACTAGGAATAAGATGCGAAAGTTTATAGTAGGACTTTGCAAATGTCAGTATGTATTTTATTAAAGCATAATGCCAGATATGATTATAGGCTTTATGTTTTAATAGCATGTATGCTGAATTCTAGTTTTTATATATACGACCAAATACAAATTTTATATGTTAAATATAAAATACTATGTATAAAAGTGCATAACAAGACCTGAGTCTAATTTATTTTACTAATTCTAAACTCATTTATAGGCACTGAGTCTAGTATAAATTTGTATATTGAAAGGTTGTATTACAAAATGTAAAAGAAAATTAAATAAGAAAAAGTAATCGATAGTTATCAAGTACTATATTTACAAAACAAATAATATAAATAAATAAAAAAATTAATCAAGATATAAAGAAATTAAACAAAAATAAGAAATAAATACTTAGCTTAAATAATCTAATTGAAAAATAAATAACTTGTTATTTTATATAAGGAAGAGTAGAGTATTATGATAAATTTAAGAGTTGTGCAAATAAAAATTTTTAGAAAAAGTAAATTTATTTTAAAATATTGATTTATTATCAAATAATAAAAAAAAATTTTGAATTAAAAAAAACTTCAAAATTTAACCTTTTTTTTTATTCAAAACCTTTCTAATAAAGGATGCCAAAAGGCATAATTATTATAATGTACTATGTAATTTGTATTGTATTACTGTATTTTCTTTCTGAATATTGAGAAAAATTAAATATGTAAATAATATGAATAATATATAAACTATAATATTTGGCTATTTATTTTGTAATTTAGTAATTAGAACTATGCAATTTTTATATAATCCAAATGATACTATGTAGTATGAATTGATTCTGAGCACTGTTTAATGATAAGTACACAAAATTATTATTTTTGTAATTAAAGTTTTACATAAATGCACTTTGCATTATATCTCATATAACAACTAATAATTATTTATTGCATATGAATTATGGTATATATAAAGGGAATTTTTTTTTTACATTTTTTAATTTGAATTGATTATGAATTTGCAGTATGTGATTATTTTGTTCCTGGAAGAGCATAAAGAGAACCAAGTTCATTTTGACTTTCTAGAAGCTAAGAATGCATAATAATTGTGAAGAAACAGTATTTTCACTAAGATTTGCTCTATTATAAGTAATCATAAAGCCTGCTCTTGAAATTGTCCTTTCACTAGCAACACTTGAAGGCTGAATGCTGAGATATTCACATGTCATGTTACTAAGAATTGGAAATCTTTTTGACAATATTTTCTAACAAAAAAGTCTACTATTTTTATTTTTACTTTTAATCTCTTTAGGAGGTTCTCTTTCATACATCATTAATTCATGACCAACTGTATTAGTATTATAGGAAGGTCTTTTTAATATTTGTATTTTAGAAAATAACAAACTAGATAAAAAATTGTTATAATTAACTTTAACAATTTCAAAAGATGATTGAATATTAGTATTTGTATATTTTGCATTATATTGGATTATTATTTATTAAATATTATTAACAAATTGTTTTGCAGCCAATTCACTATATTTACTAACCTTAATTAATGTTACTTTTAAATGTTCCATCTTGTATCTTGGATCAAACACATGTGTGATTATAATATGATAAATTATTTTGTTCCAATACTTATCAAATTTTCTTATTATAAATTGTATTACATTATTATTATATCTGATTTTATGGATATGTTGTAAAATTTCCAATATTACTATTAAAGCATCAGATATTGAATTTGATTTATCTTTTAAAAGAACTAACATAGCAGCTTCAAAAGGCTTAAGAAGCTAACAAACTAATTTAAGCTCAATTAATTCTTCTTTTTCTAAACAGAAAGGCATCAATAACTCTTTTAAACACATTTCACTAATTGCTAGATGCAAAAAAATATATCTCTCAAACATTGCAAGTGTTAAATTCCAACAGGTGTTAATTTCAAGAATTGGATATAAAAAATTTATTTAGCCAACATAACAATATGAAGCTAATAATTCTAACTAACTACTTGCTAAGAGATTTGCCAAATATTTTATTATTTTATATACCTTTTTATGAAGTTCACTTATTTCTGCTAATCTAGCTTTAATAATTAGATTTAAAATATGGCATATACACCCAATCGATATAATATTGTTATTAAATAATTCATTTTGAAGAATTTGACTTACAGCCTTATTGGTTATAATATTATCTATAGTGATTGCAAAAAATTTTTTCTTGATATTATAATCTTCTAATTTTTTAACTATTACAGATTTTATATCAATAGCTGTTTTTTCTGACTCTTGAAAGCTTAAAATAATATTAACTATCTTCTAATTATTACTTATTCATGATGCTGTAACAACTATATAATGGCATTTATGGATGGTTGAATGCCATCTATCACAGGTAACAGAAATTTTGATTGAAGTTTTTGCTAAAACTCTTTTACAAACTCTAATCTTTTATTAAATATACTATCAGATAAGTGTCAAAATACTGTTGTTAAATAAGAAATCTTATAAAAATGAGTTACATAATAAAGTTTTTTTGCTATTCTATAAAATAATAGGCTATTAACAACATTAAAAGATATCTCAGTTTCAATAATTAAATCAACTATTGAATTATTCATATCATTTTTTAATATAGGTTTATTTTGATTATTATTTACAAAATTGCTAGAACAAGATAAGGTATGGCTTTTTAAATGTGTCTTACTAGTAGTGTATGAATACACTTTATTTTAATAGTGCAAACATTTCCATAATTTTTTTTATTATGCATTACTTCTATCCAATGATCTTAGGTTTTATAGCTACTATTTATTTCTGTTCTCCTATTATTTTGCAAGAAGATATCAGAACCAAAATTATTTTGTATCAAGGTATTAGAAGTAGAATTATTCTGTGATAAATTATCTGAAATATAATTATTAGAATATATTAAGTCATCTATTAGAACAATGATATTGATGAGAAACAGATATAAGAGTAAGAAAAATCTTGATAGTAATGTTTAAAAACTCAATACAAAATAAAAATAATTCAAATTGATATGCTTTATTAAAATTTTTTATTTTTTATTAAATACAATTACAAAATTTTTTTACTTTATCTTCTAACTAAATATAATTATAAATTTTAACATTATTTATATTCTAATAGAAAATAAAATAATCTAATTTATTATATCAAATATATATATATTTTTTTATATAAATTTAATTATTCATTCTAGTTTATAAAGTAAAATAGATCTGATTTTTGTTTGTGAATTTTAATTACTAATTTTTTTTTTTATATACTAAAAGAAATAGGATGAGTTATAACTTTATTACATATATACATCTGCATTAATATTCAACAATTCATATTAACTATATTATATTAATTTTCAGGTTTTGCCATATCACAAAATCCTGAAAGACATATTTCCAAAAATGACATAATACCTACAAAGTTAACTAGCATTAGTTTTAATGTTGGCTATGTTCTTTTGGAATATTAAGATAGAACTATTTTTTCACAAGAAAAAAAAAACTTGCTGATAATTATTTGGCTGATTTAATAAGTTTTTGATTTGATAGTTATAAACTTCAGAACTTTGTAATAAAGTAATTAGAGCTTTTTTTAAAAATTAATTCAGGCCACTTTTCAAAACACAGGTTATATGATAAATTAGCATTTAACTGGTGTTTTAAAAAATGGCCCAAATTAATTTTTTAAAAAAACTTGTTGAGCTTTTTGGGCTAACCCATTTTGAATACTAAAAGTGATACTGATATATATTTTTACAAATGTATTTGTAACTAAACTATATTACAATATTAATACATCTAATATTAAAATTTTGTTTGAATAATGCTTAGTGAGTTTAGTCTGTACAAAAATTCTTAAAATATAAAAAAAATCTGATTATAAGATAATCTTTTATAATAAATATATTATACAAGAAAACATTAATAAAAAAAAAGTTTTTTATAAACAAGAATTAGTGACTGAACTAAAAAAAATATAACTCAAGTTATAATCCCAAGCAACCAAGTTTTTATAATATTTGTCATAGTAAAAATCTATAAAAGTATTTATTTATATAATATAAATCATAATAAACTGAATCTAATATAATATCTAGTTTATTTCAAGTATAAAGAATATATTAATATATTTATCTTTTATATGCACATTATTATATAATCACAATCAAACAATTATTTGGACAATTTTTACTAGATGTCTTAAAATTTAGAAGAACAGCTGTTTTTTTATTTTTATGATAGACCAAAATATCAATAAAATTAGGTTCATTCTATATTATTATTAAAAATGTATTTTACAAGAACATTAATAGAAGATGCTATATCTTTATTCAATATAAATAAAATTTCATAGTTTTAATTAATGTTAATTAAAAAAATTTGGCAGTATTATTAATTAAATCTATTATTTATTAATAACCAAAATCTTATTCCTATCAAAACAGCTAAATTTTATTTTGACTAATGTTCGATAATTGACTAAATTAAAATTCACTAAAATGTAATTTATTTCAATACTTGAAATTTTCAATTGATGCTCAAATAATTTTCTTCTAACTCTATATGCCAGGCAAATATTGTTAAATACTAGCATGTGTCAGGCAAATATTGTTAAATATTGGTATATATCAGGCATAATACTGATACCAAGTGTTTAAAAAAGTGGCTGGTATATTTTAGACTAGCACAGTATGCTATTTTTGTTTTATGCCTGGTATTATAAAATTTTTATTGAGCACAAGGCAAGTGCCAAGTTTGCAGAACCCTACTTTCAACCTACTAACTCTTAACAATATTATACAAATACTAAGTGCTTTTAATATTAAATATATCTTTAACTTATACTTTTGTTTAATACTATTGGTACTTTTTAAATTAAGACTTGGTTTCTTAAAATCTGGCAATCTAAACTTACAATAAATATACTTAATATTTATTATCACAAAACACAAAACTTTATTCTAATTTTTTATCTTTGCCAACTTACAAAATACAATATTTTATTTTCATAGTTTTTATCCTTATCAGAAATCTTTATTAATTACTATACAATATATAAAATACTTTTTCTAAAACTATTCAATCTAACTATTAAAACTTTAAGAAACAATAGAATTTTTTTTTGAACAAATTACAATAGTAGACAATTTATATTTTTTTTATAAAATAATATATACTTACAAATAACAAACTTATACAAGGTTAGTAACTAATATGGTTTACACAAATCTTTTCTTTTAATCAAAACAACATCAACATTTTACAACTTAGCCTTATCTAACTCTTCTTTTCAAAAACTCTTTTATTAACTATAATAATCAACTAAACTTTCTTTTTCAACAAACCTACTTTTAATAAACTAATATTTACTAATCTTATAATTATTTATTTGAATTTATTATAATCACATTTATCTTATTACCAATAATCTCAAATTTTTAATTTATTAGTATTTTTATAATTAACTTAAACTTACTAATAACTTATTACAAATTGACTTTAATAAAATTTTTTTACTTATTTATATTAACAATTTTTTATCTTTTCAACTCTTATTCTTTTTTTATTCTTCAGTAAACCTAACTTTTTCTAAAATACAACTTATTCAATAAACTGTCAAATTAATCTTATATTAAAATCAATTAATCAAACTCTATTTTTTAATTAAAAATTCTAACTTAAACAATTTAACCTTCTATGCAAATAGTTCTATTAAAGACTGTTAAACATCAAATATTAAATCAGATATAGGCTAAATTTGTAAAATAAACACTAATATAAATTCTAATCAAGTATAAAATTATATACTAATACTAATTGCACTGAATTTAAAACAGTCTTATCATTTTTCTTAGTCATTTTATTAAATATTACTGTTATAATTTATTTTGACAGGATGTGATGACCTAGTGAAGTGGTCAAGTTGTCAACCTTCCAAATGGTAGGTTGGGTGTTCAAATTCTATCGACAGCATTAATTTGAATAATCACCTATATAATATTCATATTACAGCAATTGTTACTAATGATTGGGTTAGAATATCTGTAATGGTGATTGCACCAGCATGACTGGCAGGTCATAGGGCATCTGTGTAAGTATAGCATTACACAGAGGAATGCAAACTGACAAATCAGATGGTGCAAATACTAGATAAGTCCTTGTGGCTGTATAAATTTATTGAAATTAGGTAACAAG